GGGAAAAACGATAGGAGAAGATGCTAAGATGGCACGTGCGAGCATGAGCTCCGGTACTGTATCAAAGTCAGAAACAAAATTTCCTCCGTAACTCATTATCTATGAGAGGTGCGGTAGCACTTGCGAATAAGGCTGAGTGGTAACAAATGTCAACGGCAACCATACACTGTTGGAAAAACTATCGATAACTTTTCCTTTTTGAAATTTGTTTACCAACAGTATCTATGATTCTTCGGATACGTCATTACCAGTTTACCATCGAAATGTAAGAGTAAACTATAGGGCTGATTTCCCAGTAGCAGAGTAAATCCCTTTGAAACCTTTAGGACAACAATAGCGTTACTTCTTGTTTCGCCAAGCCGGGCAGCTGTGGTTATCAGACAGATGAATATTTTTTGTACTTTACAAACCCACGAGCTCGCAAAGATAATCCGTCTAGTCTGTCAAACATGAACCCGTAATAAAGTATTTGTAAACAGATATAAGCAGATAAAAGTAAGAAGATATAAGTGAATAAAAGTAAAAGAAACACGCACGCAGAAGTGGTGATATAAATATAGGTAGAAAGGAAACAGAATATAGCTTGGAAGGCAAAATGGCGGTTATTCAAAGAAATTTTGAAAAGCACCTTGCTCGAGCGTCGCTCAGCCACTGCTTAAATTCACCGAGGCTCCATTCAAGTTGTTCGGTGGCGTTCTGCAGTACGACGGTACGTGCACGCTCGTCCACCAGTTGACGCTCGGCACTGCAATAAACAGGATTACACTGCGAGCTATAGCTGCCGGTGCACACCAGTAATTTTGCATGTTCCAGAAAAATTCAGAAAATTTTGCTTCTCAGGATTTTTTGCACCAGTTTTTTATGAAAGGCCAAGCAAAGCAGCTCAGCCAACTTGCCCCTATTTCTTTTCTTCCTTTCCTCAAGAAGCATCCTACTCCGGTATCTAAATTATGGTGCAGAGTGTTAACAAAAAGTTATGATTTGACAGTACTTTCGTCTCATTTCTGAGGAGTGGCTAGTAGTAATTCTGTTTTTGAGAGAAGTAGCTCGTAATCCTTTTACTCAGAGAAAAATCACTTCGTCTTTTATTCCATTTTAGTTCGGCAAAGCTAGTTTCATATAGCAGCTGAATTTTTAGTCTCCGCTTTTAATCACTAATTTTCAGCCTAGATTGTACTTGAATTCTTACTAATTCATCAACTTGCAATGAATAATCAGACTTTAATTTCCATTTATAACCCTAGTCTAGAAGCAAATGATTGTCGTGGGTTGCAGTGAAAAATTCTGAAATTCATTTCTGCAGCCTGCACGGTTCTTGATTTTAGCGTTTTTACCTCCTGAAATTTATAGCTTCCGATAATTTGGACCACCACAGAGACAGACACACGTGCAAATAAGCTAAAAATAAATGAAACGAACTCTTCTTTTTGCCGCTTTAATTCTTCATAACAAATGTCGTTTACTGTTTCTTTCTCCTGCAATATTTCATCCAAAAATGCAGAAACTGCTTTAAAATATCTATTGTTCAGACGCTGCAATGAAATATTGGGCCCCAAAGCAACATTTTATGAAATGTTGTAAAAAGTTATGAAGTCAAAAGAAATCTGCATCAAGGATTTATAAAAAATTTACATAAAAATTGTGGAGAGGGAGTGAGGATAACTGCAAAGGAGTGCTGTAAAGTCAGTTTACAGCTTGCAATTTGACGAATCAGACAAAATTTGTCACACTAATATGAATAAATAGCGGCGCGCACCAGGGTAGCCGTGCGATCATGCGTTCTGCGCAGTTCCGTCCCAGCGAACGTCTGCCTGCTAAGGACTTTTTCACTGCTTTGCACTTTGGTCTCTGCAAAAACAGCTGAAATGTTGTCCGGTTTCTACGTTGCGGAATTTTCCACTGAAGCCTTGTACAGTAAATGTCCTTCCAAAATCAACTCTCTAATTATGTGGCTTTTGAGTGATTTCCGAGCCAAAACTTTCATGTAATCGCGCGTAACACCGCTGTATACTTGGGAATTAAATTTGAGGTTGTGTGGCTACTGCATAGGCAGAAAACATCCTCTTGAAATCTTCAGCCTACGACCTCTTCTGGCTTTCGGGTAATAAATCTTCCCACCAAAACATTCACAATGACAACGAGACCCAGGTGAATGTGAAAGCTGAATTTGAATTTGCAGGATCGCATATGGCAGAAGACAATAACCTAAAATTTCAGCTTCCCAGCTTTCGTGGTTTCCAAAATAATTCTCCCCGTCAAAACTTTTACATGAAAGTGAGCGGTACCCAGACCTATGAAGATGCTGAATTTAAAGTTGTGAAGTGCCTGGGCAGGGACATTACCGTGACTTGACCTGATTAGCCTCTGTGACTTGCGAAGTAATAATTTCCGCGCCAAAATTTTCACGGGACTGCGGGAAGGCTAATTCAAATTTTTGGGATTGTATATGCGCAACACATATTATCATAAAATTTCAGCTTCCTAGCTTTTATGGTTCGCGAAGTAATAATTTTCCCCAACAAAACCGTATTTGATATTGAGGGCGTGCGGAATTTAAATTTGGGAATGGTTGCATGTGGGCAGCGCGCATTACCGTAAAATTTCAGTTTACTAACTATCCTGTTCCCGAGGTAATAATCCTTCCCCGCCAAGCCTTTGGGGGGGTCGTATGTGGTACCCACGGGAAAGCAAAGGCGAATTTAAGTTTTCTCGTTCACACATGGGTGTGGAACATTCCACCAAAATTTCGAGGTTTCAGCTTTCGCGGTTCCCGTGTTGAAAATGCGGGACAAAACACATACACACACAACGCCGTGACAATATGCGCTTTGCACTGCTGTTACATTACATAAAACGTGTAAAAATACGTTTTTTTATGAATTGGAAAAGTCTTCTAAATCAGTTTCAGTTTTGTTTACAAAAGTCTCGCCTCATGTCAAACTTGAAAGCTCACAGATTCATCGCCTCGTTCCTCTTCCTCAGCTGCTCCAGCTTCTTCTCCCTCTTTGGTGTGCTTCTCTCCTCGTTTTG